GGGCGGGCAAGGGAGAGGGAGGGAGAATTGACTTTTTACTCGCCTAGTTTTAATATTGGCCTAGTGGGTATGGGTTTGGTTTTTTTTTAGAAACTCGCTTCCTTTTCTTTATTTATTTTAGCGGGCTCGACCTGGCCTAGTGACGCTGAGAATAAAATTGACTTGTTGCATTTGGAGCATTTACTTTCAAGAAGAAATGTGATCATTTGGAGTCTTGGAGCTCCGCCCCGCCCAGTGATTTGAGGCACCTAGGGCATGACATCTATCTCACCGACTTGGAGTGTGGGCTGGAACTCACCGACACACAACTTGCTTTTTAAAAGTACTGTGTATCCTTGTTTGTAGAAGCTATTGATGTATTGGATACATAAATTCAAATGTGGCAGCCAGCAACCCAAGCAAGTGGAAAGAGGAAAGAAGTGTGCACGTACACGTGCATGCACAAAAACGTGAAACATAATGTATATCAGTGAAGAGAAAGTATATGCTAACATGGATGTCGTTATGCATTAGGAATGTTATTATGTTAACTAAGGTAGAAGTGAGCACGTAAAACTTTCCCGTTTTAAGTTTTCTCTCATTTGGTTTGCATATTGAATTTATGACAGGTTTTTTTTTAACTTTACTTTCCACTGAAATCCTCTCTTTTTGGAGGAATTTTGATCAGAGGGCTTATGAGTGCCACCTCAGCATTTTTGTGGTTCTTAAAGACTCCAAGCTAAAGACAATTCATCATCCCACCTTAAAGCTGGAGGTCAAGTTTTCTGCCACAACGGGAGATTTGATGCAGTTTGATGTGGACCATCAATCTAGTGCAATTAGGATTTAGTATGATCTGAAGTTTTATGATAGGATTTGATCTTATTCTATATTATCTTCTATTTTAGTTAGAATTTCTTTAGGACTTGATCTTATGATTGCATCTTTTGGTTTTTTAAGGTTGTGATTAGATTAGAATTTTTATTTGTTTCCTTAAGTGTTTGGAATCTTTGGATGCTTTTCTCTTTGATAAATAAGATGTCTAGCCCTCCATGAGGAATAGAATAAAATTAATGAAAAGAAAATTTCCTAATATGTGAAATCTGACATGTTTAAGTGTTAGGGTGTGAACCCCTTAGATTTGAAGCCTACTTATTTATATAAACCTCTCTTCTTTCAATCACAACCATTCTATAATCCATCCAAAATCCTAATCTCAAACAATCATTCCTTGTAATTGCATTACTGTTCACATGAACCATCCTCTTCTCTTCTCTGTTCTTCAGCAACCTACCAGCCCCCTCTGCTTTTCTCCTGCAGTTCACACGAACCATCCTCTTCTCTGTTCTTCAGCAGCCCTTCTTCCTTTCCTCCTCTTTCTTGCGTCCAGAACAACCCAGCAACCTACCAGCCCCCTCTGCTTTTCTCCTGCAGCCAACCACCACCACCACCTTCCCTCTTTTTCCTAATACCTGCAGCCAATCAAGCACCACCTTAACATTCATAGTTCCCCGTTGATTCATTTTTCGGTTAAACAATGACTGATAGCCTTCATACTCTAGATTCGATACAGATTCTCAATGTTCAAGTCTCCGCCCTAGGTTTGTTACTCATCACTGTGTCTTGAGAGTGACATAGCCAATACTGGTTAAGCATGCCCGTTCCAAACCTTGCTGGCTGTATCATTGATGCAATTCTTCTGATATATACGTAAAATCTTTACTTCTCAATAGCATCATTAAAGTTAATGGCATCAGTAGGCAAAATCAATTGACAAGCTGCTTGAGGACTCTAGAGCTGGGAGAAGTGAGAATTCTTACTTTCTATGAGACCAACAGGATAACAGAGATTCATGTTTAGATGGATCTTTGCTTTGTTTTCGCATTCTTCGAGGTCAAGTGGACATTTTTCCAGACATTCATGTTTAGACGGATATTTTGTTTACTTTCATATTCTTGAAGGTTAGCGGACGCTTTCATTAGTTTCTTTTTCTCGCTTATCCTTGACCTCAAGTCCTTATTAGATCACTATCTTTCATGTAGATTCTAGCAAAAAGCTCGAGTCTGAAGGGCATCGTACGGACATGGGAGTTTCTTCAACTTCCAGGGGATCTGACTGCAACTCTTCATTTTCAAACAAAGAAGATACTGGCGGCTGCTTTGTAGCCCATGATTCCTCAGCTGAAATTCTGTCAACAAAGACTATAGAGACTTCTGATGTGAATGTCCCAGATGTTCAGTCAGCACAGGACAAACATATGTTTTCTGATCAATCTCTAGTAGAAAAAAAAGAGATTACAGTCTCGTTGGAACATAAGCCGCCGTCTAATGAAGATCTGGAACATGTGAAAAATCCCAATGTTGAAACTCAGGGAAGTCACCAGTTTCATTTAACTTCTGTTGATGCTATTGGTTTTGAAAATACTATATCCTTGCAAGCTTCCAACAAAGAATTCACTGAGAGAAATATGGCAAGATGTAGTTCAATAATTGGGAAGCCCGATGATGTTCTGGAAAAAGAAACGTCGCACATTCGCTCCGAAACTGACATAAAGATGACGGAGGATTCAAGTTTGTTAAGGTAGGACAATACCTTTTTAAATTGGAGAACTTTGAATCCTGATCGGATCTTATTAAAGTTTGCGAGTTATGATTTTTTGGCCTTGACACTTATCAATGCTGATTCTTTTTTTCAGCATGCATACTCCACAACGAAGGGCTAGAAGCCCATCTCCAGGTGCCACACCTGAGAACTTAAGCAAAAGGCCTGCAACTGTGTGTGCCTTTTATGCTAGAGGTTGGTGTATCAAGGGAAATTCATGTCGGTTTCTTCATCAGGAAGAGGACAGCAAAGATCTCTCCAAGTCCAGTAGGGATGGAGGTGTTTTGGACGATACAGGTATTTTAAGATCTAATATATTGACGAGTTATAAATTACAGAATTCTTATAATTAGAAAGTTCCTAACTGCACCAATGTTCTATATTGAGGTTCTCTGGGAGAAGCTGACAAATCAAAAATGTCTTCTCCACATGAGAGACCAGACTCATCAAACACTCAGAGATTAGGACCCCGATCACAAATGCAAAGAGCTCTTGTCAGGGTATATGGCGAGGAGAACCGAAGAGAGGAATTTCACAAAACTGATATTCCTCGAGTTGGAGCCACAATACTTCGAGATGAGTACAGGGGCCCTCTTGGGGTAGGCCCTCAGTTGGATTATGTGGATGAGAGTCGACATTTCTTGCCTAGAAGAAGCTTAGATGAGGAGCAGGTGCAACAAGAAATTCCCAAGAGAGAATTTCGCAATGAATCACCTTTATCTCGAGGTTATTCATTGACGGCTCCTGCAGTTCCAGATGATAGAAACTATCTAGGTGACTCATCTATATCATCCTGTTTGTATCCTAACAACGATGATCAGTTTGGCCATGAAAGAAGAAGTGAAGACTTTGCTTTTCGAAATTTACGTGGTTCTTTTGACTCAACTTTTAGTTATAAGTCTCTTTCTCTTCCAAGAAGTTCTTCTCCCTACTTCTCCAGACCCGAGGTTAATAACGTCGTGCACAATTTGTCCAGGGATCTTCCAGACTCTGTTAGGCAGAGATTAGAAAGACTGAGAAGTTCTTGGGAGCCATCTGTGCCTTTCCGGCCATCTTTTAATTTAGCACCTGCAATTTTATCTTCTGCTGGAAGTCAATATGATCCACTTACTGACAGCATAGAGCCTCATGATTCTAGGAATACATTCTTGCAAGCTTCTGAGAGGACCATCAATGTAAATGTTTCAGGTACTTCTATGGAAGTTGATCCTCCATTATATGAAAGTAAGGTATCAGAGTACAGTAGTAAGAAAATTCCAGGTGAAGGGATATCAGATGAGAGTAAACCTGATCATGGTTTAAGCAAACAAACAAGTTTGGTAGTGCCAGTAACTCCTACAGATACCGCAGTTGATGGGGGAAGTAGTTCTGCGCCAAAAGAAGTGGACCATAAGATCCCTAATCATTTAGTTCAAAGTTCTATTAATGGTGCAGATCATGATGGTGAGCTGAGGAATCAGGGAGATGAGAGCAAAATGAGTAAAGAATCAAAGGCAATGAGATTTTTCCGCGCTGCTTTGGTGGAGTTTGTTAAAGATTTGGTAAGGCCATATTGGCATGAAGGGCGTTTAACTAAGGATGCACATAAGTTGGTAGTTAAGAAAGCTGTCGAAAAGGTGCTTAGTGCATTACAAGCGCATCAAATTCCAAATACTGCAGAGCTAGCAAGCCAATATTTATCGACATCTCGGCCAAAGATTTTGAAACTTGTGGAGGTTAGTGTTGGTTATCTCCACTGTGAAATGTTTTGATCCCAAAGATATATTTCTGTTACCTCATATATGGCTCCTTTTATATGTTCAATTTTTCAGGCTTATGTTGAGAAATATGCAAATCCTAGGCCTCTGCATGACTGAAGCTTCTTAATAGGAACATGTTGGAGCAAACCCAGAAGTACATATAGTGCAGATATTGATGCCAGTTTCTCTCATAGGATGCTTCTGTCTAGCCTGTAGATTTTGAAGGCCGTAGGCTATTTAACGTTTTTCATCAAAGTAGCAAGGTAAGGAATAGTTTTAGAGAACTGTGACTTGTTTTTTAAGGTTGAAATATAGAAACTGGAGACAGGGACTATATGTTGTAGATTTCCCTTTCAAATTTTGCTGTGCTTTAGAGCTTTCTGACGTCTCTCATGCAGTCATTCATATTACCCAGCACAAAAATTTTTGAGGTTCTTTTAAAAGAATGTTAATGTTCATATCATATAAATAATGATTCTTCCTCTAGGTTTTTTCATGATTGGAGTTTGATTCTATCATCATCCATATTCATGAACATAGCATACATTGTTTTTATTGCTGATTGCGTTTATTTTTATATGTGATTATAAGCTCCAACTGTGGCAGGACATTGGGCAATTAACTTGTATGTGTTTAATTTCTGTAGCATTGTTTCTTCATAATTTATTTGCAGACAATATGCTAATTTTTTGATGGTATATGTTTGCGTCAAAAGTTGGTTTTGTCATGGAATTCATTATATCTTCAGTCGATTACAATAAATTCAAAAAGAGATAGCCTTTTTATAAGACTTTTTTTACACAACAAAATGAAAATTACAACTCTTGGAAAACAAACGCAGGATCGTTGTTTGGATCACTGCTTGCGTGGGATCTTTGCCTGTGCCGGGGGTGCGTTAGCCCGTGGACCACCAAATCACAGATTCTGATCGAATCGTGAGGGGTTTATGATTCTGACTTCGTTTATCGAAGTGAGAACTTGAAACGATATCTTATCAAGGTAAGATAGTCGTTCTTCTTGAAATCAAGTCAAAGCCTGAATATCAAGGAGTTACCAGAAGCTCAAGAACTCTGCTCTCTCTGCTCTGGATTGCTCTGAAGTGCTCAAAATGATCAGCCCCTACCAGAAGCTCAAGAACTCTGCTCTCTCTGCTCTGGATTGCTCTGAAGTGCTCAAAATGATCAGCCCCCTGTCAGAAATGATCCTAGGGGGGTATTTATAGCCTCTGGGGTTCATAACTAACAAAACTCAACAAAAGACAGAATTAATATGGCGAGACAGTGTTTACTGTCTCGCTGGGCGAGACAGTGTTTGCTGTCTCGCCCAGCGAGACAGTAAATTTGCTGTCTCGCCCAGCGAGACAGTAAATACTGTCTCGAAAAACGAATATTCTTGACAGTTTCTCGCTGTAGCTGTCTTCCCACGTTTTAAACTCCGTTATTCTGGTGGTTATCAACGTGATTCTCGCCCACGATACTCCCCACGTTCTTGAACAGTTGGTGGCCACGTGTCGGCGGTTTATGAAACGGTTTCTGAATGTTTGAAAACTGTCTTGCGTGCGAGACAGTCAACTCTGTCCCGCATGGCGAGACAGCAAAGTCTGTCTCGCACGGCGAGACAGCAAAGTCTGTCTGTTGATTTTTTGGATGATCTTCTCTTCAGCTGTATTTGGATATCTTTCAGCATTTTTTGACGCCTACAGATACCCCCTCCAAAGTATTCCAGACGTATTATTTTATAGAGGAGTCTGGGGCACTTTGGATAAGACAGGCTTTATTTGCAATCTCTTCCATACTTGATTGAGTAGATCGTACGGAAGGACCCGTACATGGCTTCAAATCTTGACCTCTTCATCTTTTGGTCTATCCAGTGCTTTGTAGAATAGACAAAATTTTTCCAGTGCTACGTTTATCGCTTGACCGTTGTCGAAGTCTTGACTTAGAGCTGGCGGAGGAATAGTTTATACTCATATACCTTATTGGAGTGTTCGGGAAATAGTTTAACCTCATATACCAGTTGGGAGGTAACCAGGTTATTCTTAAGAATATTCTGAGTAATATTCTCCAGAAACTTCCTGTTGATAGTAGGGAAACAGTTTAGACTCGTGTACCTATTGGAGTATTATGGTCTCTTTTTTGTTGGTAGAGATGAACCCGATGATGGAGAGGAAGAATTTTATATCCTATCTCCTGATCTCTTGTTTGTTGATAGAGATGAACCCGATGATGGAGAGGAAGAATTTTATATCCTATCTCCTGGTCTCTTGTTTATTGGTAGAGATCTCCTGGTCTCTTGTTTATTGGTAGAGATGAACCCGAAATTGGAGAGGGAGAATTTTATATTCTATCTCCTGGTCTCTTGTTTGTTGGTAGAGATAAACCCAGAATCGGAGAGGAAGAATTTTATATTCTATCTCCTGGTCTCTTGTTTGTTGGTAGAAATATACCCGGAATTGGAGAGGAAGAATTTTATATTCTATCTCCTGGTACAAAGGAAATTTGAAGTGGGATTTCTATTCAGAGAATCTGAATAAGGTTTGATCAATTGAGATTGGAAGCAATCCTAACTTTTATAGATTTGATTGCGCAACTCGAAGGTGGACCTCTTATTCATGGAAAGAATCAAGAGGGGATTTTGGATTTGGTCCTAACTGTTTAAAGGTTTGACCAATGTGGGAATTTAAAACGATCCTAACTGTTTAAAGGTTTGATCGTTCAATTTGTGGACCTCTCGTTCATGGAACGAATCGAGAGGGGATTTTGGCTTTGGTCCTAACTGTTTAAAGGTTTGACCAAGATGGGAATTTGAGACGATATTAACTGTTTAAAGGTTTGATCGTTCAATTTATGGACCTCTTGTTCATGGAACGAATCGAGAGGGGATTTTGGCTTTGATCCTAACTGTTTAAAGGTTTGACCAAGATGGGAATTTGAGAGGGAAGATTGATCTAAAGAGGTGATCGAATCTCATCTCAGCAAAAGAGTATTCGGAAGTCATAGTAGGAGTTTAGTGTTTATCACTTTGTTCATAATGATCGGGGTTATCCCTAAGAATATTACATTTAACATTCTTCCGGGAACTTCCCGTTACATGAATTATCCACCCCCAGCTTTCTTTGCAAAACTGAGTGTAACGAGGAGTTCGTTATCCTCAGTCGCATGTTCGGGTTATCCTTAAGAATATAAGATTCTCCAGGAACTTCCCGTTATATTAATCATCCACCCCCAGTTTCCTTTGCGAAACCGGGTTTAACATTGCACTCAGTTGGATAATCGAGAAGCAGTTTATACTCCTATGCTCTTTGGAGTGTGGGGAAACAGTTTATACTCATGCACCCACTGGAGTTTTGGTTGTCTTTACTCGACTTCTTTCGTCGTTATGACGCCAGAGTCAATTAGGGCTTGGATCTTGTTTTTGAGTCCAAAGCAAATCTCGGTGGGATGAAGAACCCTTCTGTGGTACGCACAGTAGTTTGGATCCGTAATCCTCTTAGCTCCATCCTGATCTTTAATAGGTGGTAGCTCGATTGGGATGAAGAACCCTTCTGTAGTACGCACAGTAATTTGGATCCGTAATCCTCTTAGCTCCATCCTGATCTTTAATAGGCGGTAGCTCGATTTTATCATTGGCGAGAAGATATTCCAGTATGGCTGGAGCTTCATCATCTTCGAAAGAATACTCCTTTTGGAACCTCGGATCGAGAGTTGCGTTCACAGGAATTGTGGATGTCGTCGGTTGACCTCTCTCAACTTTCTTTCTTTTAAGAAAGTGTTCAGCTTGTTCACCCCGAGATTTTAACTCCTTCCAAGTTGTGGATGGCACGACCCCCAGAGCTTCCAAGACATCGATGGAGAGATTATTGTGGCATGTTTGCAGGATAAACTCCTCTGTAATAGGATCTCTGCAATTCATTGCTTTATTACGGAAACGTTTGACAAAGTTGTCAACTGACTCTCCGTCTTTTTGCTTCTCATCCAAAAGGGTTCCGATTGACACTTCAGTGTCATCATCGAAGAAGTTGCTGAGGAACAAACTTTCAATGTCATCCCAGCTATTGATGCTCTCTGGCTTGAGCCGTCGGTACCAATCGAAGGCAGGTCCGCGAAGGGTGCCAACGAATGACCGGACCATTAAAGCATCGTTTCCAGAGATCATGCCCAAATGAGACTTGAAATAAATCAAGTGCTGAATCGGCGAACTCTTCCCCTCAAACGGTGTGAAGTTAATCAGATTGAACTTTGTCGGGTATAGTATTGAATCTCATTCCCTCGGATAGGGACATGGAATACCCGTCTTCTTAACTTCTTGAGCCGTCATCAAAGCATTGATTTTGTCTTCAAGTTTTTGCATTTTCCCGTCATCGTCTTCATTTCTTTCTGAATGATGTCGAGTAAAGATAATTGGACCACCCCCAGTGAGAGGTGCTATTGAACCACCCCCAATATCGTTATTGGGAGGATCCGTTAAACCACCCCCAGCGTTATTGCCATTGGGAGGTGAGCTAGCAATTCTCTCATTTGTTGGATAGCTAACTCCATTTCTGTCTTCACTTCAGCTCTAATTTCTTCACGTTGTTTGGCTAGAGCTTCTTGAAGTATTTGAGCAAATTGATCAGAGGTGATCGTGAGTACTTCTCTGGTTTGTCCCGTGCTAGACATTGTATCATCAGAAGCGATTGCAGAATAAGTGTCCGAGAATTCATCCTCCGAGGACATTCCTTCTTGCATTCTCTTGTAGTCTCTGCGTCTGATAGCTCCTAATTGGAGTCATCCTTTGAGCAATTCTTGGATTGACTCTTCCTCTCGGGGAAAAGTCAGGATTTGAGTCACTTGAATGCCGCTTAGACTTTCTTTTATCAGCCACGTTGATGGTGACTTCAGGGAATTCATCATCTTGGACAGCTGATCTTATAAGTCGTGCACAGGAACAATGAGAGCGAATAATTCTTTTTCGAAATTTATTCACACCCCCAACTTGATAATACGATTCATCGGTATGATTGCCAAAAAATCATATCGTTTGTTGGCATGACCTCCCAGGTATGACGATGTCTTTTGGTGAATGCGTCTTCTTCTGAGGGTGTAAAACATTGTTGGTATTCTCAGGACAATTTATTATTGTCTTTGAGCGATTCAAGGTTATGTCGAGAACCACCCCCTTGTGGGTATGGAGTCTTAACGGGCTCTGAATGCTGATTTTGCACAACTCCAGTTTTTGGAATCCAAACTTGGTAGAATTTCGGTGGTTCTTTGGTCACCGTTTCTTTCTCCCTTTCTCGTCTTTGTTGTGAGAGAGCACGGGCAAGAGCAGCGTTTGCACGATGTTTTTGTATGCGTTCTTTGAGGGTCGAACGAGTCCTTTTGACAATAGTCCATTCCTCCGTCGTGAGTTTGGCAGAGATATGAGTGATTGGTTGTTGAGACAACTGAACCACTCGATGTCTCCTCGACTCTAAGTCCGCATGATAACGAACCCCGTCGG